ATTAGAATACATGAAAATATCTAATTATATCTAGATTATATCTGAGTAACGTTGAGAATATTAAGATTATATCTTATTTGGCAGTTTTGAAATTTCATTTAGCGCAGAGAATAAAAAATTTCTCCATGACTTAATGTGGATGACTTGCTATATGTTACTCCTCGATTGATTGTCGACATGCATTTTTGCATTTTGGGTCTAGGTAGAAAAACTGTAAATGTCTTATCATCAATGTATGTTACAATATGTGCGTAGTTGGAGACCATGAGTTATTAAAAATGAAAGGGTTTTAGAAATAGATAATACAAGTAGTTTTTTTCTACTATGCTAATTAGGATTCAGCAGGATGGAGTTGCAAACATATTTGCATAGCGTGGATGGTTATATAGGGTTATTATATTTTTTTACAAATAAAATTTCTTGTAAGAATAAAAAATTATATGAAGTTTGACAAGTTAAAGCTACAGTACATACTTCGGATGTTAAAAAACTATGTCCATTACGTGTTTAAAGAACATTTAAAATTTGTATAAATAAAGCATAATTGTCAGGATGAAACTGCTGATTTCAACGTCAGAATGTTTCTGTACATATTCATTTTAGAAATTCACCCTTTTCTTGTGTTTTTCCCTACTTAGGTTGAAGATCCACTGTCAGAAGCTACTAAATACTTGAAGTTGCTGCAGAAGAATTCCCCTGATTCATTGGAGACACACTTGCTCTCTTTTGAATTATATACAAGGAAGCAAAAGACTTTGCTTGCCTTTCAGGTAGGAGTAGTCCAATAACTTAATTTATCTTGCATCACTTTCTTCATATTTAAGTAATTACAATTCTTTCTCCTTGGGATTGTAGGCTGTGAAGCAGTTACTGAGATTGGACCCTGAACACCCTGATTCTCATCGTTGCATGGTATGGTGTCTCAATTGAGGAATACATTTCCATGTCACTGGAATTAGAAAATTTACTATTGTAATATTTTCATATTAAACTAAATAATAATACAATTTAATCTCATAATCGCCCATTAACCCATGTTTTTTATGTAATTGTAGCAGGAATAATAACATAATAATAATAACATAATAATGATAATAATAATAATAATAATAATAATAACAATAGTAATAAAAGGCAGTTTTTATAATTGCTTTACTTTAATCCTTGTCTTTATCAAGAATTGCATGAAAGGCATACATGGCACCTACGGAACCGAAAGAAAAAAAAAATGTAGCATAGGATTTGGTACTGGCTAATCCTAGTCTGTTTTTCAGTTTCTTTTTTCTCATTTTCCTCTTTGTTATTTTCTCCATCAAACACACAAAAGGAGGATAAATCTTTCTTCTTGGATTTATTTGGTCCATATGTTGCAGATTAAATTCTTCCATAAAGTGGGATCCATGAATGCTCCCGTGACTGACAGTGAGAAACTGATTTGGAGAGTCTTAGAGGCTGAGCGACCAAATATTAGGTTCTTAGTTGAAAATTTTCCTTCTTTTGTTTTCTTTAGTACTCGTATCTACAATTCTTTTATTCATTTTATGATTAGCATTTGATTATAACTTTATCTATTTTCTTTTTTGCAGCCAGGTGCATGAGAAATCCCTGTTTGAGGCAAACAACTCTGTCCTTGAAAAACATAAAGGTTATAGTGAACTTTATCATCAACACGGCAGTTCATATCTATCAAGCTTCTTTACGAAGGTTTCTTAATTTGTTTCTGTTTGCAGATTCTTTGATGCATAGAGCAGCTTTTGTAGAAATCTTGCACATTTTGGATTCAAACAGAAAATCCGAGGCTGTTAAGTTCATTGAAGAAACAACAAATAACACTGTGCCCAGGTAACGCTTTACAACATTTTCAGTGATGCTATCATGCTCATTCAACACATTCTTTTTGGAGTTAAAGTAAAATAAATAAATAAAGAATTTTAAAAATAGTGGGTTGGGAGGGAGACAGATAGATTTGGAAACTGAGTGAAATTAGTATTTTCTTTCTTTTTTTTCCCCAAAACCTCGACCTAGTCTTTTATAGTTCCCTTTTTCCTTTTATTTGTAAATAAAATATAGTTGTTTATTTTCCTATTAAATTCAAATTTTGTTCTGGTTTCTAATATGTTTTTCAACATTTTTGTCCATAATATAGTTAAAAGTCTAAATCGTTTTATTTTACTGTTCAAAGTGTTATCTAAACAAATTTAGGATGAAAAACAAAATATACGATTTATTAGGGACAGGAAAATTTCATTTTTTTTATTAGAGACCAAAAAACAAAATTTGGAAATTTATCAAGAACCAAAATCATATTTATGCCTTTATTTTTTTCAGAATTTTAATAAAACTTGTTTAAAACATTATTTCCTTTTAAGGAGAGAAACCCCATGAGGCTTTGCCAAAACTAATGTGTTTCTGACACGTGCATTTGCTGTCGTGTGTTGGGTTAGACATCATTTTCTTTATCATATCACGCAGCGCACATACTTTGATCTGTGAAAACTTATTGGAATTCATAATCTCACCCCCACTGTTTTTCGCGGTGGGGGGTTACTTGTGGTCCTGCTGAGCTGATTAATTGAGAGGACTTAAGCTGATTGGTTTTGAGAGTAATCAATGGCATAGTGAGAAGAGGAAAAGGATATTAAGAGTTGGGGACAAGCCACCCACACGTAGAGTTGAGATTGTGAGTGGTTAACATTCAAGTATAACCATCCTGCTTTTTTTGGATGAAGATGAATGGGTTTCTTTTCGAAATGCCAAACGGTATTTCTGTATAAAACAGTCCCGTGTCTTGTTTCTAATTTAGTTTTTGAAAAGCGGTCAAGTCCTTTTCTTTATTCCAGGGATGGAAAAAAGGTCAAGAGGTGCCCAAGTGATAGCAGATTACGAACAAAGAAATACTGGATGTTTTTAAAATGAGGATTTTAAAATAAAGTGACATTGGTTTGTCTTTTAAAATATATTGCATGAATAGGTGCTTATGTATGTGTTTTGTCCTATGATTTATGGCCTCTGACGTGTCGATGTTCATTCTTGTTTCTGTATATGATTTATGAGCTTAATCTCTGTTTCTTTCTAGATTCATTTTTAGCTATCAAATCTTAGTAATGGTATCAAACTAATGAATCTTTCAATACATATCTTATGCTAGAAATGGAGCACTTGGACCAATCAGGGAATGGAAACTTAAAGACTGTATTGCAGTTCACAATCTTCTAGAAACAGTTCTTGCTGATCAGGATGCTGCATTGAGTAAGTATAACTTGAACTTTTAGATCGCCTGACTAATTTTTCTGTCGGTTGGCTTGGACGTAAGGAGCAGTGCGTATGGTAACTTTAGCACGTGATATTCGCTGCAGATGATATTTATTATTTCTACAAAAATAATCTGTTCCGAATTCCTTTTCCTGCACTGAGATTTTTCCCTCTTGAAGATTAAAATTACTAATTGCTTTGAAGCTGGCATGGTTTTCTATTCTTAAGGAAAAAGGGGCAAAAGGAGACGAGGATTGTTTGCTAAAACATTTAGTGATTTTAATCTTTTTTCTACTCACATTTAATGTTGTTTCGGTTTATATTTAATTCCATTTTCTTATTTATATTTCTAACAGTGCAATAAAGCATGGAGAGATTAAGATTAACTCTATGTACTCTTGCAGGATGGAAGGTGCGATGTGCGGATTACTTTCCATATTCTACGTACTTTGAGGGAAAGCACAGCTCTGCCTCTCCCAACTCGGCCTTCAACCAGTTACGTAAGAACTCTGAAAATGAGAGTGTTAACCACATCACATCAAACGGGAAACTAGAGGCATTTAAAGATCTCACTATCTGATAAAGTCGAATGCATCCATAAGATGAGGCTAAGAGACATGCGTGTTACCCAGTTTGGATGCTTAGAACCAAACGGCATTTGACACTCCCAGAAACGACCGCGTTGCAGTTTGCAGCAACAAAGGTCACAGTTTTGGTGCGGGTTATGGCAAACTCTACACTCCATGTATTTTCTTTGCATGATTTCTCCCTCCCATCTGTGATATTTATTTGGTTTGCAAATGTGTATAATTTCACCTCAATTATTATGTCTTAGGATTGCCTTTTTCAATTTGTTCACTTTTTTTTTTCTTTTTTTCTTCTGAGAGCTGGTACACGGGGCTCCATAGGCCTTTACCATCGTCTTGGATTTTCATTTTGGTCGTTGGGAGAGCTACAGAATGATTTAGGTTTCGGTCCTGCATCCAGCCAACATACATATAGGGAGAGCATGTTGTATCTTTCCTATTTAATTGGTCTATTCATGTATAACCATTAAATTATGTCAAAGTTTTGCAACTGGATGCCAAAATGACGTAATTTTGGACGATGAATTCAGTAAAAGAATTTCGGTTGGTAGAACTGTTGTATGTGAACATCATTTGTCGTACCTATTATAGTACTCGAGTTCGTAGAAACTGCTATATAGGAATTAAGTTTTGACTATGTAGAAGGAAACATACTGTGTTTTGGTGTTCAAATCATATCTAATTTTTTATTGCGATAATCGAACCTTATTATGCAAACTCATGATGAATTCGAAGAACCTCTTTATTTTGTATGGTACTTTGTACACATCTCATGTCAATTGTCCATTAGTAACCGAGCGCATCCAAACGCAATTTTTAATCTGAAGTTATAAAATTTTAAAATTTTAATCTGAAAAGGAAACATTTTTTTTTCTTTTTTTATTGTGTCAAATTTCAAGGAAGAAATTATAATGGCATGAACCATGAAATAGGGTATCAAATATCACTTATATAAATGTCAAATAATTATAAAAAAAATATATTCATTAAGATTTCATAACAACTATAATTTATATATTTGCGTGTAATCTATTAATCTAACTTTGAATATGGTTGGGTATGGCTGCGACTATTCCTCAAGCCCGCCAATTTATAAACTATAGACATGTTTGGGTGTTGCTCCCTCCACCCCCACACGTCTCTTCCTCCACCTCCTCTTTACTATTTTGTCCCTTCCTCTACTTTTCCTTTACTATTTTGTCCCTCAATAAAATTTTTATTTTTAAAATTATTGTTTTTTAATTTTACTCATTTATAACATATTTCACTGATAACCTACGTAGTTCCTTGTATGAGTAAAATATTTTTCTGCAAAGCTTGATGATCGTGAAAAGAATTATTAAGCAATCTTCCTCTTGTTCTCGGTGCAGTACGTGGTGCAGTGCGTTTGTGGTGTAGTGTCCTTGTCGTGGTTCCTCTCCAGGTACGTAGTCATAATCCTTCCAATAATCCTAAACCCTAAATCCTTGGATTTATTTGGTCCATATGTTGCAGATTAAATTCTTCCATAAAGTGGGATCCATGAATGCTCCCGTGACTGACAGTGAGAAACTGATTTGGAGAGTCTTAGAGGCTGAGCGACCAAATATTAGGTTCTTAGTTGAAAATTTTCCTTCTTTTGTTTTCTTTAGTACTCGTATCTACAATTCTTTTATTCATTTTATGATTAGCATTTGATTATAACTTTATCTATTTTCTTTTTTGCAGCCAGGTGCATGAGAAATCCCTGTTTGAGGCAAACAACTCTGTCCTTGAAAAACATAAAGGTTATAGTGAACTTTATCATCAACACGGCAGTTCATATCTATCAAGCTTCTTTACGAAGGTTTCTTAATTTGTTTCTGTTTGCAGATTCTTTGATGCATAGAGCAGCTTTTGTAGAAATCTTGCACATTTTGGATTCAAACAGAAAATCCGAGGCTGTTAAGTTCATTGAAGAAACAACAAATAACACTGTGCCCAGGTAACGCTTTACAACATTTTCAGTGATGCTATCATGCTCATTCAACACATTCTTTTTGGAGTTAAAGTAAAATAAATAAATAAAGAATTTTAAAAATAGTGGGTTGGGAGGGAGACAGATAGATTTGGAAACTGAGTGAAATTAGTATTTTCTTTCTTTTTTTTCCCCAAAACCTCGACCTAGTCTTTTATAGTTCCCTTTTTCCTTTTATTTGTAAATAAAATATAGTTGTTTATTTTCCTATTAAATTCAAATTTTGTTCTGGTTTCTAATATGTTTTTCAACATTTTTGTCCATAATATAGTTAAAAGTCTAAATCGTTTTATTTTACTGTTCAAAGTGTTATCTAAACAAATTTAGGATGAAAAACAAAATATACGATTTATTAGGGACAGGAAAATTTCATTTTTTTTATTAGAGACCAAAAAACAAAATTTGGAAATTTATCAAGAACCAAAATCATATTTATGCCTTTATTTTTTTCAGAATTTTAATAAAACTTGTTTAAAACATTATTTCCTTTTAAGGAGAGAAACCCCATGAGGCTTTGCCAAAACTAATGTGTTTCTGACACGTGCATTTGCTGTCGTGTGTTGGGTTAGACATCATTTTCTTTATCATATCACGCAGCGCACATACTTTGATCTGTGAAAACTTATTGGAATTCATAATCTCACCCCCACTGTTTTTCGCGGTGGGGGGTTACTTGTGGTCCTGCTGAGCTGATTAATTGAGAGGACTTAAGCTGATTGGTTTTGAGAGTAATCAATGGCATAGTGAGAAGAGGAAAAGGATATTAAGAGTTGGGGACAAGCCACCCACACGTAGAGTTGAGATTGTGAGTGGTTAACATTCAAGTACAACCATCCTGCTTTTTTTGGATGAAGATGAATGGGTTTCTTTTCGAAATGCCAAACGGTATTTCTGTATAAAACAGTCCCGTGTCTTGTTTCTAATTTAGTTTTTGAAAAGCGGTCAAGTCCTTTTCTTTATTCCAGGGATGGAAAAAAGGTCAAGAGGTGCCCAAGTGATAGCAGATTACGAACAAAGAAATACTGGATGTTTTTAAAATGAGGATTTTAAAATAAAGTGACATTGGTTTGTCTTTTAAAATATATTGCATGAATAGGTGCTTATGTATGTGTTTTGTCCTATGATTTATGGCCTCTGACGTGTCGATGTTCATTCTTGTTTCTGTATATGATTTATGAGCTTAATCTCTGTTTCTTTCTAGATTCATTTTTAGCTATCAAATCTTAGTAATGGTATCAAACTAATGAATCTTTCAATACATATCTTATGCTAGAAATGGAGCACTTGGACCAATCAGGGAATGGAAACTTAAAGACTGTATTGCAGTTCACAATCTTCTAGAAACAGTTCTTGCTGATCAGGATGCTGCATTGAGTAAGTAAAACATGAACTTTTAGATCGCCTGACTAATTTTTCTGTCGGTTGGCTTGGACGTAAGGAGCAGTGCGTATAGTAAATTTAGCACGTGATATTCGCTGCAGATGATATTTATTATTTCTACAAAAATAATCTGTTCCGAATTCCTTTTCCTGCACTGAGATTTTTCCCTCTTGAAGATTAAAATTACTAATTGCTTTGAAGCTGGCATGGTTTTCTATTCTTAAGGAAAAAGGGGCAAAAGGAGACGAGGATTGTTTGCTAAAACATTTAGTAATTTTAATCTTTTTTCTACTCACATTTAATGTTGTTTCGGTTTATATTTAATTCCATTTTCTTATTTATATTTATAACAGTGCAATAAAGCATGGAGAGATTAAGATTAACTCTATGTACTCTTGCAGGATGGAAGGTGCGATGTGCGGATTACTTTCCATATTCTACGTACTTTGAGGGAAAGCACAGCTCTGCCTCTCCCAACTCGGCCTTCAACCAGTTACGTAAGAACTCTGAAAATGAGAGTGTTAACCACATCACATCAAACGGGAAACTAGAGGCATTTAAAGATCTCACTATCTGATAAAGTCGAATGCATCCATAAGATGAGGCTAAGAGACATGCGTGTTACCCAGTTTGGATGCTTAGAACCAAACGGCATTTGACACTCCCAGAAACGACCGCGTTGCAGTTTGCAGCAACAAAGGTCACAGTTTTGGTGCGGGTTATGGCAAACTCTACACTCCATGTATTTTCTTTGCATGATTTCTCCCTCCCATCTGTGATATTTATTTGGTTTGCAAATGTGTATAATTTCACCTCAATTATTATGTCTTAGGATTGCCTTTTTCAATTTGTTCACTTTTTTTTTTCTTTTTTTCTTCTGAGAGCTGGTACACGGGGCTCCATAGGCCTTTACCATCGTCTTGGATTTTCATTTTGGTCGTTGGGAGAGCTACAGAATGATTTAGGTTTCGGTCCTGCATCCAGCCAACATACATATAGGGAGAGCATGTTGTATCTTTCCTATTTAATTGGTCTATTCATGTATAACCATTAAATTATGTCAAAGTTTTGCAACTGGATGCCAAAATGACGTAATTTTGGAAGATGAATTCAGTAAAAGAATTTCGGTTGGTAGAACTGTTGTATGTGAACATCATTTGTCGTACCTATTATAGTACTCGAGTTCGTAGAAACTGCTATATAGGAATTAAGTTTTGACTATGTAGAAGGAAACATACTGTGTTTTGGTGTTCAAATCATATCTAATTTTTTATTGCGATAATCGAACCTTATTATGCAAACTCATGATGAATTCGAAGAACCTCTTTATTTTGTATGGTACTTTGTACACATCTCATGTCAATTGTCCATTAGTAACCGAGCGCATCCAAACGCAATTTTTAATCTGAAGTTATAAAATTTTAAAATTTTAATCTGAAAAGGAAACATTTTTTTTTCTTTTTTTATTGTGTCAAATTTCAAGGAAGAAATTATAATGGCATGAACCATGAAATAGGGTATCAAATATCACTTATATAAATGTCAAATAATTATAAAAAAAATATATTCATTAAGATTTCATAACAACTATAATTTATATATTTGCGTGTAATCTATTAATCTAACTTTGAATATGNCACCCATAATTTTCCTTTTAAGTTCATTTGTTTTCTTCATATTTCTATTTCCATTTTCTTTGTTTTTCTTTCTTTAGGTTTAGTTCCATTTTTTCCTGGCTCTCTATAAACTAAAATAAAAGAAAAAAAAATTTGTGATTTGTAATATAGAGTAATAAGTAGATAAAATAAGGTTATCAGTAGTAACAAATTCTAAAATTTAAAATAAAACTCAATACATTAATTTTAAATTGACATTAACAATAAATAGTGTTAAGTATAATCATTTATAATTTTACTAATTATAAAAAAGTAAACTATAAAAAATATAAAATGAAACAATAAAAATTTGGACTAATCACAGTCAACAAATTTTCAAGTCTAAATTATATCACATATATGAAGTCGTGCATTAATATAATAGGTCAAAATCAGATCAAATTTGATATCTCTAATTGAAATTCACTTCATTTATAAAATATATAAAAGTAAGATTGTTTTTGTTATAATATGTGGTTTGATCAAATTTGAACACAGATATAGAACAGCAATACTAGAATT